CTCTCCATGCTTTTTTCACAATCATAGTCCTTAACGAACGAAATTATATTTGAAATCTCTAAGGGTATTTTTCTTGAATATTCTAAGGCTCAGAAAAGGTACAGATATTATTACCCATCCTTAAAACAGTACATTGTTCCAGTCGATGTTACCTTCTTTGAGAACAAACCAAGATATGTTGTCTTTGATAAATCCTTAGACCCTCCCGATGATTATGACTACCTTATTGTTCAGAAAATCATTGCAATTGTTCCTTCGAAGACTGCTATACAAACTAATCTACCATCCAAGTTTGTAAAACTAGTTCAGATTTATACAAGATGTACCACTCCACAACTTGAGCCATCATCTAAATCCACCCAGAAGCCTAATATACTAGCAAGTCAAAATGTGATCGTATAGCGAAGTGCTCAGACCTACTGATGATCTTCCCATTACCCTCCAAAAGGATAAAAGATCTTGTTTTCGGTATCCTCTTACACATTATGTCTTTTACTCTTCGTTATCTCCATCATGTTATTCTTTCATATCTTCTTTAAATTATCATCTGGTTCATAAGAATTTGTCAAAAGCTCTATCTAACTCAGGTTGGACGACAGCAATGCATGAAGAGATGATAATCTTAGAGCGAAATGGAACTTGGGATCTTGTTTCACTACCACCACAGAAGAAAACGATTGACTACAAATGGGTTTATACTGTCAAAATAAACCTAGATGGCTCTCTAGCTCGCCTTAAAGCTCGTCTAGTTGTGAAGATATATTCACAGATCTATGGCCTTGATTACATCAATATCTTCTCTCATGTAGCTAAGATGACATCTATTCGCATTCTTATTTTGCTTGTCGCTTGCTATGAGCCTATGACTGACCACTATATCAATTGGACATTAAAAATACATTCCTTGATGGCATTATTGATGAAGAGGTTTATATGGAGCAACCACCAGGTTTTATTGTTCAGGGGTAACGTGGTAAGGTTTGCAGGCTAAAAAATCCCTCTACGACTTGAAGCAATCTTCGAGGACTCGTTCAGACGTTTTGTAGCGGTTGTTTAGACCTTTGATCTTCATCGAGCTCAAAAAGATCACTCGGTTTTTAAAGATTTCATAGTAGGAAGCGGATCCTTTGGGTTATATATGTTAATGACATTGTGATCACAGGCGACGATGCATAAGGCACTACTCATTTGAAGAAGTATCTACTGCAATCATTTCAAACCAATAACCTTAGATCCTTTAAATTTTTTCTGGGTACCGAGGTGGCTAGGTCGAAAAAGAGAATTCTCTTATGTCAGAGAAATGTGCTTGATATGTTGCTAAATGCTAGGATGTCAGAATGCAATGGCATTGACTTATCTATGGATGACAAAGTCAAACTACTATCAACTTGGAAGGAGTTACTAGAGGATACTAAAGAATACAAACGACTTGTAGGAAAACTAAACTACCTAACAATTAAGAGATCAAGTATTGTATTTTTCTGTTAGTGTAGTTAGTCAGTTTCTCTCAGCACCTAGGATACCTCATACAGAAGCTGTGAAAAGATTTCTTAAGTATCTCAAGTAAACTAAAATAGAGTACTCTATTGAGATAGCGGTCACACAAGAGTTACAGTATTCTCAAATCCAAATTGGGCAAGATCTCTTAAGGACAGATGATCAACTACTGGGTATTGTGCATTTCTTGGAGGAAATCTAATATCATAAAAGAGTAAGAAACAGAGTGTAGTCACTCGATCTATAGCTGAGTCTAAGTATAGAGTCATGGCGAATTTGACTTGCAAGTTGGTCTGGGTTAGAGATATATTAACAGAGATTGGTTATCTTCCTAAGCATCCCATGAGCTTGTATGGGGATAACAAGACCGTCATTCACATAGCTGAGAATCCAATGTTTCATGAGAGAAAAAACATATAGATTGATTGCCGTTTGATTTGTGAGAATATGGAGAAAGGAATCATTAGAATCAAACACATACCATCAAAACATCAACTTGCAGACATTCTCACAAAACCTCTTAGGAGAACACCAGTGAATTTTATTTGTAACAAGCTGGACATGTACGATATGTATACTCAGCTTGAGGGAAAGCGTTAAGACTTGAGAGAGTTATTTACTCCTTGTTGTTTAGTCTCACATTGGTTGGGGACAAACTCCTTTGTTTTACAAAACCTATTAATAACATCCAAGTGAGAGCTAATAATTTCTCTACGGTTTCACATTAACAATTAACATATATTATTAACTGATTTTCTCTTCATTTTTTCTATTCATAAAAAAACATCTTTTTTAGACCCCTTTTTGCTAAGTCCTGCTACAGCATCTGGAAAAAAAATCCCTTATTTATTTATTTATTTTCTTTTCTTCTCAACACACTTTTTCTTTTTCATTATTCCATCATCTACCAAAAAAGAGCAATTTTGAAAGGGAAAAGGAAAAACTGTAAAGAGGTTAATATTTGTATAAACCCCAGGATCAGAATCAGAATAAAGAACTCCAAATCTGAGACATCTCCGGAGACACAATGAAGAGAAATCAGAACCTTCATAAAAGATGAAAAGTTATATCAGAGTGCAATTCATGTTCATAGCTTCTTCCACTTGGATTCCCAAGCTTTAGGGAACTGTAAGGCAGGGAGGACAATCAAGAAAAGCACTCCAATGCAACAATACTAATCCCATAGTAATGAAAAAAAATCCCATAAATGAATTTTCTTTATATTTAGAAACTCAATATCATTTGAAAATATCAATGCCAAATTCACTAGAAACTGGAATTTTTTGTAGTAAGATAACCCTAATAATTACTTCCAATGAAAAGTAAAACCATCAATAGTTTCTTATTGAAAACAACAGAACGCATAATCAAAGTAGAAAGGCAGCTAACCTTGCTCGAATGGACAGCGGGCCGGATCTTCCCCAAAATACTGTGCCAGTGAATCTGCACTTCTTCCCTGAAAAGAGATCAGTTAAAATGTGAATCAGGTTAAAAAAATTCATATTAACTAATCAGCAAGACTACACTGTAGTAAAACTAACCACTTCAGAGTACAATGATATAAGTGACCTCACATCAGCCTCTGCAGTATCAAGAAAATTCTTCAAGGCCTGCAACAGATACGGTTTAATTTTAAAATCTCCCAAATTCATGCTCAGTGTAAACCAATCACATAACACTGGAAATTCAAAAGCTGTAACAAAGAAGACAAAGAACTAGATGAATTCCAGTCCTTAAGTATTTCAGAAAAATTATTCCGTCAAAAAGGAAATTGGAATGAGAGCAACTCCTCCATCAAATGTTTAGCAGCCAAAATATAAGCAGCACATTGGAAAGCAATCATGCGCCAAGAGGTTGACAGATACTAAATCAGCCAAATCTCAAGAATTCATATGACGTTCATAGGTACTTAATTACAAGGGGAAAAACTTGCATCTAGCAACAAAAATATATTACAATAAGCAAAAAAACTCAAGCTACAGTCCAAGTGCTTCAGAGCTAAAGAAATCAGCCAAGTTCTAGGAGACTAGGACTCCATATGAACTATCATAGATAAGTAAGAGCCCAAAAAAACTCACATTAATAGTATTTATTAGAGAGTACAAAAACATTACAAGCCTGACTGCCTGAGGACAACATTTAATATGATTGCTCTTACATTTACCTATAGAAAAGTGAGTCGGTGGACCCTTGTAAGTCTTAACTAAATAATATTTTGTTTTGGAGAGCATGCGGTTTGTTCTTCACATCGAGGATGCATAAGGAAAAAGTTTTTCAAGACGACGAGCAGGAGAAACTAACGAAGGTGCAAATACAAAATAGAAGAAAGGTAAGGAGCAACAGCTTGGCTTTCCTGTTGGTGTTTGTTTCTTTTATAGAGACCATTCTAAGTAATGATCTGTTAGTTAACCCTCACTGCTAATATTTTCAGCTCGTCACATGGTTCTGACTACAAAAAAATCTGTTACAGTCCAGCATGAAAAATGGACATAGGTGCATAGACCTCCGTTATTAGAACTCATCACTCCACAGAAACAACTTTGTGATGAGTTAATGAGGCCAAAAGTACACAACCTAACGGCCTGAGCTGAACTTTTAACTTCCATGTTTCATGGTAAAAGGAGCCAGCTTATGCAAGTGAAGCAAAGAACATACTACTGCAGTTATTCAGAAAAAGATTTTGATAAGGAACCTTCTCATGGACTACTCACCTTCCGGAAGCCCATGGAAATAGCACCATCATTTTCAGAAGCAGTGAGTTCTTGTTCAACCTTTTCAAGACCCTTACTTACAGCTTGCATTTCTTCAGCTACTATTTTCAGTTGGATCTTGGAAATGATTCAGAAACATTGTAAACAATCAGAACAACTATTAAATCTTCTATCAATGTAAATCTTTTAAAAATCATTACATTTGCTGCGGGAAAAAAGACAAGTACCTTAGAAGCTGCTTCTAGATGATGTAAGTCCTTATGAAAATCAAGCAGCTCAGGCATTTTCTCTGCAAGCAGCTGAAAAGAAAACAAATCATTTGCAAGTCCTCCCAACCAAGCTGATTATAAAACACATAATTGGCAAGTCTTCCCAACCAAGCTGATTTTCATAAATCAATACTTTTTTACTGTTGGGAAAATAGGCGTAGTCTACTCAAGCAAGATTTGAACGTTAGACAAAGAGGCTACCACTGTGCTGCAGTGGCACTTGCTTTTTGAACTCGTACTATACAAATAAAAGAATTAGCATGAGCTGTAACTGGAAATTAAGTAATCATCAATGGAAATATTAATAACGCTTGGCTAATAATATGGAAATGACATTATATGTAAAGAAAGGGAAATCAAAGGGGAAAAAACAAGTAAAATCAGCAATGGGCATCTTATGAGCATGTTGTAATCAGAATAATGTATGAGATATAACTGGAAATTAATCATCAAGGAAACTATTATAAAGCATGGATAAAAATATGGAAAAAGCATTACTCAGAGAAAAAGAAGGGAATCAAAGACGATAATGTTTGACAAGTAAAACCAACATTAGGGATCCTTAGTGGAAAAATGGGTGACAGTGGATCAGGAATATGATATGCAGAAGCAAATGCCAAAAGATGAAAATCTAAAGTGTGAACCAATGACCAAGTGCTTGCATATGAAATAGTTCTAAATGCAATTTAAAACACAAGAGCCCACTGAAAGTTAGGCCCATAAACCTGACCTATAAATACTTGTACATCTTCTATACATACACCTGAGCCTACCTTTAAACAGTTAATATGAAATTATCAATCTTTCAAACAGAGATTAAGGAATTGGAGAGCAAAGGTTGGCTAATTGCTAGCAGTAGTTCATGAGGTCAAATGGTAAGATTGGCCTCTGTGAGTGTGCAGGTGAATTCAAGCATGCACGCTAAAGCTAAAAGACCGCACACACGGACTGAAAATGTGATGCCAATTGGTTTACACGCATCAAGACATGATGATAAGGTAACTGTTTAAACTAGCAGAACCTACAAATAAAATCTACCACTAAAACAATGGAATATAGTAAGCATAAATAGTTAAGCTTCAGGCATCTTTTACTTTCATATTTGACATGCATGGGGATATGCCACCATTTGAATAAGTGGATGGGAATGAGACACCTCACTACCAAGCACAAAATTTATGCTTGGTACCAAGCATACCCATTTTTCTCCATATATATATACATGTATGTATGTATCTATATACATATATGTATGTATCTATATACATATATGTATATACACATACATATACATCTAGGTATATATACATATACATGTATACATATGTATACATATGTATATATGTATATGTATATATACCTAGATGTACGTACATATGTACGTACATATGTATGTATATATATGTATAGATATATATAGAGAGAGAGAAATTCTTATGTCAACTTAA